TCATTGAAAACTTTGTGAAGATTAAATAGATGTATCTTGCATAGAAATTAGACTAAACAATGATAATGACATCACACAGATAATGCTGGTGGCCGTGATTGTAATTATTAATACAGCATAAGAAATACAGCATATGAATGGCATATAAATACAGCATTATCTGTGTGATCGTCATAAGATAATGCTGAATGCAGCATCAGCAGGTCTCATACTTTACAAATGGCATCAATTTCATCAAAAATTATGACATGCAAATCACTTTCATCCCCTGAAAAGTAAAAGAACATACATCAGCATATCTAATAGAGAAGCTAACTAAACGTACTCTTGACGAGAAAATTTATCTTACCACGAGTTCTTTGATCCTGCTCAGCATCAGCAAAGAGGTCCCTAACATTCTTTTCAGTCTCACCAACAAATTTACTTAGGACCTCTGGACCATTAACAATCTAGCAAGGTCCACCAAAAACAAAATGGACGGTTAGGGTCCGTTGGTCACTAGTTGTAAATAATATAGGATTAGCAGTAGCTAGTAACATAAGAGGCTTTTAATTGTTAAGAATCAGTTAGGTCCTGTTCCAGAAAATGGAGATGAAGGACGCACTCAGAAACTTTAGAAGAGACATTGAAATAGTACATCTCCATGTTGCAGGAGCTCATATGTGACAAGAGCAACCACAGACGCTAGATAAAGAAAACGATAGAGAATCATACAAAAGGCAGAAACATGCTGTGAAACAATAGTGAAGTTGGAAGAACAAGGTGAATCACAATTACTGAAGAGGAAATACTGATTTAGTCAAAGTTTCCACATAATAGTTTCCACATAATAGGAGCTATCATTTATCAAATACTCTTTCTAAGAAAAAAAAAATCAAATCAAATATTACTTGAAGTCTCATTAACAATAAAAATAAATCCATGACATTCCTCTCCAGACCATAGAAGGGAAAAAAATTATAAACTCTTTGTTGGATCATGATAGCAGGGACAGTTATAATTCTCACTCTTAGCAGAACATAAATGGAAAATATAGAAAATTCATCTCCAGACCTTTGGTTCCTTTCCGTTCAACATTTTTCCAATTTGACGAGCCATAAGAGTTTTGCCAGTACCAGGAGGTCCATACAGTAGTATTCCCTTTACATGCTTAATCCCTAATCTGCAACATCAAAAAATCCATCTAACAAGAGAAAATTATGCTGATGAAGTATTAGGACCAGCATTAACTCATATAACCAGTTACTTACTTATTTGTCACATGAGGAGGAAATACACGAGATGCAAAAGCTCTTCGAAATATTTCGGCAAACTCTGCACTTATGCCACCTATACCCAGTGACTGTAGATTGAACTCCTTATGCCTAAAGATGTTGCTACTGGCAGCTTCACGCTGATTGAGTATCTGCATACACGTCACAATTGATTTTTATTTTTTGAGAAGACAAATGAATAAATTAATGAACTTATTATCAAACTGGAAATCAGTGGCAAACAGAATTTGTTTTTTAAGAAAAGTAGTGTTTCTTTCAAATGCGACAGATCCAAGGTTCTCTCTTAATCCCTTGCCTCCATATCCAAGATACTGAAGGGTTCTTTCCTAGAGAGTGTCTCTTTTTTTTAAGATTCAAGTTTGATGGGGGAAAAAAGTCATGGTGATGCTTGTTCTAATTATTGTGGCTTATAAGGAAAATACTATAGGAAAACCTATGATCCATGCAATAAAATTTATTTCATCTTTTATGCTTTTACTAGAATACCTCTATTAAAAATTATTAAATATTTTTTTCTGTGCTTTTAATAATTTTATGAACTTTTCAACTTATAAGCACTTTTTTACCAAACCCCCATTATTTATGTATAGCCTACAAGTAAAATAAAAAGACAAAAACAAGACATTTTCTACTTATTAGTCCAGAACTTGAAAGCTTTATGAGCTTATATGCCTTCCATGCTTTTTTAAGCACTTTTAAGTCTCAAAGCCAATTGGGAAATGTCGGCAATGGTCCCTTTCGGGAGAGGTTGTAAATGAACTAGCCAAAGTTCTTGGAGGTAAGATTGCTTCCTTCTCTATTAAATATGTTGGCCTTCTCTTGGTACTAAAATGGAATATATTGGGATATAGACCCGGTTTATTTCCAAAGTTAAAAAGAAGTTGTTTTCTTGGAAGAGGAGGAGACTACCTTATGATCCACGCTCTCAAATATCCTAATCTATTTCTTATCCATTTTCCCTATTCTGACGTGGCTAAAAGCGTAGAATCCTTACAATGTAAATTTTGCGGGTGAAGACACATCCAAAGTGTCTTCTGGTTGCTTGGGCCAAGATAAAAAAAACCATATGTAAAGAGGGCTTAGCCATTAGGTCCATCTCTAAGTCTAACAAGATGTCGTTTGCTAATGGTAATGGCAGTTCCTTTCTTCTTTTAATGCTCTATGGAGGTACTTCATCATAAGTTGGCTTGAGGATAATTGGTGGACCACTAGAAGGGGCAAAGGTGCTTTTGGTCCAGCCCGTGGAGTTGGATTAGTAGAAACTAAAATCGAATTATGAATTCCATGAAGTTTCAACTCGGCTGTTGCAGTAGAATCAGATTCTGAATAGATAATTGGTGCATGGACAGACCATCAAAGATATCTACCATACAGTTTTTCTGGAGGCAAAGATTAGGGAGTCTTACGAGGAGAATGGTTATCGTAGTCAGTGAAACATACCTCGTCGAGGTTATCATAGTCAGTGAAACATATTTCTTCCTAATCCTAATGACTGGGAGGTGGGTGAATGGGTCAAACTTCTCCAAAGTTGGGAGCAACAAACAGACAGCCTTTTCTAATGACAGTCCCGATTGGAAAATCAACAGAAGTTGTAACTTCAAAGTAAAGTCCCTCAACTACCATAATATTTCTGACCAGATTCTAGATTGTTACCCATGCAACAAGGGTGGAAGACTAAAGTTTCCCATTGTAATCCATTTTGGAGGCTGTACGGAGGAGGATCCACACTTTAGATAATCAGACTAGGAGAGTAATGGAACCATGATCAACAGCTACTTTTTATCTTGTGTGTGTGCTTGTAGAAATAGGAACCCCTAATGATCTTCTCCTCTCTCTTTGTGAGATAAGAAGACTGTAGTAGTTCGGCTTCACTCTTTAAACCTCTCTTGGGGATGTGCAACAATATCTTTTTTTTTATAAATAAAAAGAATGGGATATGCAACGATATCAAGAAAGAAGTTTGGACTTGAGATAGAGTTGTGGCTCCAAGAAAAAGATCATCACCCCAATTCCCTTATACAGTTCTTGGCTTATCTAGGAGGAGAATAATAGGAGGGCATTGGACCTGGTCAAAATACTAGGAGAGCCCTAGGATTTCAAGAATTGACAGATTCCTTGGTTTCATGAATATTTAGCACGCAATTAGAGAAGGATAAGCTCAACATAAAATCAAAATATGACCTTTATTCCACTTGCATTTGATGCTTCAAAGATGATATATGTATCGTTGGAGATCATTCCCCTTTCAATTCCACTTGATTTTTCTTGGTCCTCGACAACAGCTTGATTGACCGTGAAAATATAATTAGTTCCATGATATTCAAATGAAACTCTTTGGCCTGCTGTCATAACCTGCAGAAACAAACCAGTGCAATACAACTTGTTATACAGACTGATTACAAAACATCTTGAGAAAGATTAGACAAGTAAAAGAGAGTTAATAAAATCCAACCGTCTTAACTATGCTACTAATATTCTTACTGTCCCCCAATAAAGTAGATAAAGATCTAATTTCTGTCATTCCAATGCATTTGAAATATCACCATATAGTTATAAGCACCAAGCTTAAGGATCTAGTATGTTACACTGTGAGAAAAGGCTATAGACAGAACCTTGATAACAATACAATTCCTGGTTAACATTATACAACCTTAGCTGTCCATAATTATCTCTTTCTCTTGACAGAGCTACAATTTCCTTACTCTTGCCCCATAGATTTTAAAGCAGAAATTAGTTTAACGAGCAACCACTTGATCTAACATGAACAGTTTGAAGCAATTTTCTTTGTCTTGTCTTAAAAAAAAATTCTCTGTTCCAGTCTTTGTTATTTGGCATGTAACTCAAAATGTCTTTCACAATGAATAATGTAGACATATTTTAGCAGCCGAAACACCATGAAGAGGCAGTGGCAACATGAATCTTTCTATTTTGTAACGTCCTTCCTTTTGATGTAAGCTTATTTAATTCAAAGGTCATCATATCTTTCTCAAACCTAGATTCTCATCATTTTTCCCCTCTACCCTTATCCCCATTCCTTAGCCTCGCACCAATCTTTGGATGGCTGATTACTGTGTCCACGGGTCTCCTATCTTTTCTTTTGAAATATTAAAAAGAACAGGAGATTAAAATAGAAACCAAGTAAAATTTGGAACTAAACAACTACGTAATGCCTTCGTGCAATCCCCATTCCCGGTGGACTGGTTCTCGAATTTTATCACTTTGAAACAGACAACATTTTGAGGATGTAATAGTAACAAGCATATGCAATAAGAAACTGCTAGAAACTCTACCTGATCAATGAACCTCTTCCTCAGTTGCTTAGCAAGGAGAATAGCATCAACCTGTGTAACAAAGTGAATAAATTGCAAATCCCACCCCAACTGAAGCAGCCCATAACAAAAAAGAAAATAAAAGGAAAAAAAATCTAAACAAACCACCAACCTGTTCACTTTTACCCTTCTTCACAAATTCTAATTCAAGTGTTAGTATTGCAAGGTTAAAATTTTCTGGAGGAATAAATCTACAAACGCAAAAAAAAAAGAATATTTAGAAACCAGAAACGGGAAGCAACAGGAAGAGAAAACCTTAAGGCAGTACCAAATTACCTGCACACGGATATCGGCTCACCAGTAGAAACTCTAGCATCCCGACGTTGGATTGCATTCAATGCAATATATCCATCACGAATGTTCTCATGCGGAGTATCTCTAAGTTAAGTCCACAAAGCTAAAAGATTTATCATTATTCAAATATTTACTGCCCATTCTCATTTAATTCATACTATATTTTTCAGTTAAATTACTAACATATCTAGATGTAGAGAGGGATGATAATTTTCATCTATGGATCCGTTCCATCCCTGGCTTGAAATCCTTGGTGGTGAAAGTCTAATTGTTGCACGGAGGAACTAGAGTTCCATTTCCAAAGAGTTCAAACTAGGAGTAGATTGGATGTAAACATGACAATTACGATCATCCATCTTAAGCCTATGCTAGTAATTAAACAATGTGATAGGAGTAGAATGAGAATTAAACACCACATTACGGAACAAAATAGCGCTGGCATTCACATTCATTTCCACACATTTGCCGCCTATCACTCGGTTCATTTATTACAGTCTCGATTCTGCTGGAGTTGGAGCAAATACATTTTCCTCTGCTCGCGCCGTGTATGATGTTACATTTTAATCCAAATAAAAATCCGTTGGCTAAATTGTCTTTCCGTCATATTCACATCCACATCCAGCAGCAAATTCATACCTATAGTTCAACTATCTAATTGATGGAGCATATCCAAATCATTTGGTAGTTTTAAAAACGTTGCGCGGTGCAGGAAGATAAAATTAAGAAAGTAACTTATGAGGAAGTTCAAATCCAAATACCATGCTTGTATATGAAATTAACTGATTAAGAGCAAGAATTACGTGAAAATGAAGAGGACAAAGAGAAAGGATATGCAAGAGAGAGGACAAAGGATCCAACGTTAGCGAGGAAGAGGCTGGTGCCAGGGACGGCGAAGCTTTGAAGATCGGAGCGGGAGCAGAAAGCGAGATTGGTGACGGCGAGATCTGACGCAGGTGTGTTAGTCACGATCATGTTCTTGGCTGCAGAGGATGGCGACCTGAACCGACCTGCCATCGCTGTTCAGATCAATCCCGTAGTAAGAATTTGTGGAAGTAGAGAGAAGAAAGGGGATTTCTTCTGAGCAAAGGAAACCCGATGAAGAAAAGGAGAAGAGGAAACAGTTGGTTTTGGGTCCTGCGCGGGAGGGAGAAAAGGACAAATAGATGGAAACCAAAGCAAGTAAACGCAGCTTGATCCCGAGACCCGACCCTTTTGTTTGTCCCAATTAAATGTCCGGTTAAATCAATTATATATATATATATATGTAAGTAATGGATGTAATAATATTATTTTTTAAAATAATTTTGCAAATAATATAAATTATTTAGTAATCAATGTATATTACCAAAATGTATTTATTCTAAATTCTACATAATTTTTTAATAACAACATTTTCGAACTTTTTTGATAATTTTTTAAATATGTAAATTATTTAGTAAAAATGTGGATATTATCATAATGTAATTCGTCCAAACCTAATATAATTCTCTAATGGACATGTAATGCCCAATTTATTTTTATACAATTTTTAAATTAATTTATAAATTTAATTTTTTAATTTTTTAATTTTAACTTAATGTAAAAATGAAGAAAATTAAGTGAATGATAAAATTAAAAATAATTTTGGTAAAAAATGGTGAAAATTTGGGTTGTTGAGGTATTTTTGAAAAAAAAATCAGAAATCGGAATTAAAATATAATTTAAGAAAGTTTTACCAAGTAAGATGCCCAGTCAGCAACTCCAACGAACCAGAACGCATTGCGTGGCGAGGGATGCTGATGCAGTGCCACGCGGGCGATCCGCATGCCAGCGATCGGACGACCCAGATCCGCTCCCGCGCGCACAGACGACCCAGATGCGTGTTTTCCCCATATGCGATCAGACGGTTAAATTTAAAAGCGATCAACGATTCAAATCTACTTCCTATTTAATCGCGATCGGACGATCCAAATCAAACGTGATGGATGACCCAAATTAAAAAGAGACGGATATAAATAACATTTTTCACACCAAACCCTAACCCTAGCCGCCATACACCCTCACCGAAGAAGAAAATCCAGCCGTTAGGAAGAAGAGCCGTCGTCACCTGCCGCCACATTGGAGCCACTTCTGACCGTCAAAAGAGGTAAAAAAAAAATTCTTTGTTCATAATTTAATTTTAAACACCCTCATGGCCAAATTGGAGCCAAAAGACTGGCGAATTTGCCGGAAACCACGGACAAAGCCTAGTGACGCCGCCGCAGGAAATTGCAAAAAAGCCTCCGATGAGGCCCTTCCGGATTCCTATTATACGTAATTCTTTCACTATTATAACCACTGTTTCCTACTCCATAAGTTGACCGAAGCGAAACACCACATCACAAATGTGAGTCAATAGAGTCGTCGTACTAGAGAACCCCGCCGCCGGTGAGTTTCGATGTTTCATTTTTTTTGGGCCAACCGAAACCCCTTAACGTATTTTATCACAAAGATTAATACAAAACCATGCCAAAAACAGCTGACCCGAAGCAAACCACCGTGCCAAAATTTCAGAATTGGCCAAAAATAGGTCTTGACACCAATTTTGGATTTTTGGGATATTTGTAAGTACTTGTAATGCGTTTTAATCCCCGAAAAAAAATTCAGAAAACTCAGAGACCACTAGTAGGTACAGTCAACAAGTTTAGTTTTTCATGCATCAATTTGAGTAAGAATCCTTTACCTTTATTTTCTGTTATAAAATTGAAGTTAAATTAATAATAATACAGTGTGTGGTCCAATTTAAAAAATATTCATAATTAATCACGAGTTACTAATAGAGACAAAATCAGAAATTATTCACTGTTGATTCATGTTGAATTAGTTTACAATTTGGATGCATGATAATATCTGTTGATTGATTTTATAGTTTTGGATGTATATATTATTGTTTTATCTGATTACGGTTGAATTGAAAAACTGAAGATTAAAGGTAAACGGAAAATTGTGTGATTAAGTGAATGGATAAAACGACAGCCTTACTAGATATCCTAAGAGATGGTGGACGGACCGTGTGCATAAGGAACCCTACCGTGAACGTTGTCTCATATTTGACGTGGTATCGAGACTTAGTAATTTGACACTCATACTGGACAGGGTATGGGAACGGTCCGTTTCACTCTCATACCTGACAATATATCGAGATTTTGTAATTTGGTGCTCATACCAGACGTGGTATGGGGACAGTTCGTTAATTAAAAATGTTAAAAGAAATGGTTCACGCATTGTGAGAATATCTCTACGAACTCCCATTGATACCAGTAGGCTGATTAAAGAGAAAATTGTTGTTCCAACCAATTGCATATGAAATTATAAAATGTGTTATGTTATTGTCTCTATAAGTTATTTTGTAAATTTCGCTACGGTAAGTAGACGGTAAATGATTTTATTTATGATGAATGAATTTATTTAATTAAGAGCTCCATTAGTTGTTTTAATTTTTTTACAAACTTTAATTTCTGTATCGGTGAGTACTGTGATATTCTTAATGGGATAGTGTAGGTTATTCTTTTATTAATAATTTTATATTAAGATGAGAAAGATTCAAAGTCCGATCCACAAGAGGATTACGAGTAGGATGTCAATTTTATTTATTTTCCGTTTATTTCTTTATTTTTTTTGTATTTCCTTCAAAAGGTAATTCCCGTATAATATTTGAGACTTTAAGTTTTTGTGTAAGAAATATAAATCTTAATTATTTATTTCACTTCTGTACTAAATTTATAATTTATTTCATTTACAATTTTCAGGGTCGTTACAAGACAAGTTTTCATAGTTTTTGAAATAATTTTTTAAACATACAACTTATGAAGTACAATTTTGAATATATATATATATATATAGTGTATTTGAGTCTAAATTTAAATATAATGTTTTCAAATAATTTTAGAGTGTATAAATTAGTTTAAATACTCTACTTAATTGGAATTCATATTATTTAATTGGATTAAATATTAGTTTAGTATTTATTAACAAAAAAATTTACAAAAAATGAGAATATTATATAAAATAAAAATTAATATATATTATACTAAATAATGATTTATTTTTTAGTATATTTATATGTATATGTATATGAATGAATATAATTATGGTTATTCAGTTCTTAATTTGTACCGAGAAACTAAACTAGATACAATTGTTTAGTCTAGACAAACTAAATTGAATATAAAACAGTCTAGTACTGGATCTATGATATTTTGGACCAAAGAATCTGATATTAGTTTGATCATAATATGATTTTAATAAAATTAAAATTCACATATATATACTAAAGAATTAATATATATATATATATATATATATATATATATACACACACATACAAGACACACACTAGAAATGCATATTGTAGTCTTTGTGTGTGTGTGTGTATTATTTTTTATTTTATTTTCTTTATGGTTTATGATTTAAGACTTTGAATTCAGGGTTTATAGTTTAAACCTTACATTTTTAAGGTGTATGCTTTATGATATAGAGTTTTGTTGAAGTTTAGGCTTTAGGATTTAAAGTTTAGATTTTATGATTTAAGATTTTAGAGTTTAGGAATTGAAGTTTAAGGTTTATAATTTAGAATTTTAAGATTTATGATTTATAGTTTAGAGTATATGATTTAAAATTTAGGATTTAATATCGAAAGTTTACGATTTAAAATTTATAGATTTTAGAGTTTAAAATTTAGAGTTTATAGGTTTAGGGTTTATGATTGAGAGCTTAAAGTTGAGGGTTTAGGATTTTAAGATTTAGGTTTTAAGATTTTAATATTTAAAGTTTAAGGTTTAAGAGTTTAAAACTTATAACTTATAATTTAGACTTTAGAATTTAAGGTTTCAGCATTAGAATTTAATTTTTAGTGGGTTAGAATTGGTATTTAGAGTTTAGGTTTTGGAGTTAATGATTTAGAGTTTATAATTTATTGCTAAAGTTTTATGGTTTAGGATTTTAGAGCTTAGAATTTTATTATTTGTGATTTAAAATTTATGGTTTATAGGTTTATGACTTTTAGTTTAGTGTTTAAAATTTTAAAATATAAGGTTTTTAATTTTAGGATTTAGAGTTTAGAGTTCATGATTAAAGGTTTTATGTTTTAAGATTTTATAATTTATGGTTTATGATTTAAGATTTAGAGTTTATAATTTTAATGTCTAGAGTTAAGAGTTAATTTAGGTTTAACATTTAAGATTTAAGATTTAAAGTTTAGAAGTTTAGGATTTAGTATTTAAATTTTAAAATTTATGTCCGTGATAAATATTTAAATCTTCAGTTTAAATTTGTTTTTAATTTAATTTTTAAACTAGTTTGAATCAGTTCGGTAGAGTCAGGTGCTACTAATAATCGAATTTACATATAATAAAAAATTATTTAGTTAATTTGTTATTTAGGTTGGAAGAATGTAAAATTATAATTAATACCATGCTAATTCTATATTTATATTTATGCATATATTAAATTTGTTTTTTAAAAGAATTAATCCTAGATGATGGGACATTATCTATAAGAAAAAAATGAAATTAAGTGTACTTTTTTTAAAGAATAATGAAATCAGTGCTTTAAATTATAATTATTTTTTAGATTATCGTACATAAATTAATAAATAGTTAAATTAATTTTGTACCTATACATGTATTATTTAATTTTTAATATATACATGTAAAATAACATATAATATTGTGAACAGACATGGTTTTCAAAAAAACAAAAAAAAGAGGTTCAGAAAATAAACCTCCAAACCTCCTAAACCCTTTTGTTGAACAGTGAACTCGGGGAACATCAGAATCCAGAGATCAAAACACCCATACCAAAAGCGCCGTTCATGGCGAGCCGCCGGTGCCTCAACGCGCTCAGTCGCGGTGCCGCGGCGCTTATCTCGGCGAACTCAAGGCCTTCCCTCTCCTCCTTGAAGCCTATTCATGCTCTCTTCATTCCCATTTCTTCCGAAACACTGATCCCAACCCAAACCCAACTCATAGAGCCTTCATGGTTCGCCTCATGGACTCACCATTGCCGCTACTTCTCGTCGAACCGGAGTGACGACGACGAAGAGGAAGAGAGCAGTGACGAGGGAGAGGATGACACGACGCCGTCTGATCTGCAGAGAGAGTATTCGGTGGAAGAGAAGGAAGAGGAGGCTGCGGCTATTGGGTACAAAGTAGTCGGCCCACTCAAGCGGTCTGACCGCGTTTTTAAACCGTACGAACCGGTTTTCGCAGTTGTTCAGGTTTCATTACTATAATTAGATAATCTGGTTCTCTTTTTGGGCGTTAACAGTGAAAATGTTGATATCTTTTTTCCTTTTTTCAATTTTAAGTTTGCTTGTGTTCTTATACTTTCTATTTCCTGGTGGGTTGGATGTGGTTTTTGAGTAGGTTGGGTCGCATCAGTTTAAGGTGAGCAATAGAGATTGCATTTATACTGAGAAGTTGAAATTCTGCGAAGTGAACGACAAGGTAAGCCACGTTTCCTGTTTTTATTCTTGTACAAAAATTGAGCTAAATGCGGATATTGCTACAGTTGTCGCTTGCTATGCACTTAGAAGTGCTTTAAAATACGTATCTTTTTTTAATTCTTGAAAATGTTTTTTTTTTATTTGAAACGATACGGGTTGGTTATATTTACAGATTGCTAAGCAAGTCTTCTCTACTCTGGGTGGGTTTTGTCTGAACTTTCCTTTGATGATATTATACGAGAAAGTAAACTATTGTAGTTTCCGGGTTTTTCTGTCCTGATATATGTTTGAGTGTTCAATAGTGTGATATGCTGGTGTTAAGCATAGTAAGATGAAGGAGAAGAGGGCTTATTTGGCTAATTTGTACCAGTTGGTGGTTTCAAAAGCTTAATTCATTGTTCTTTTAGATTTGGGCTTTTTTGTAACCATTTTACATCCTACCGTAGTGGTGATTAGTAACAAATAGCGTGGTAGTAGTGTTGGATATTTGACAATTTCTAAACCCACTGACAAAAATTTCATATTGCCAATGTATTTTGGAAAGTTGTAGTCCCTTTGAAGGTAAAAGTGTTTTGATGGACCGCTATGAACGAAATATGTAACACTAATGATTTGTTTCAAGTCCAACGCCCTCACTATGCTCTGTCCCCTGATATGTGTTTTGTGCTTCAATAGTGGTGAGACTTTTTCCCACTTGTTTTCACTTTGTAACATGGTGTGGAAAGTATGGACTAATCTGATGAATAAATTTGGTGTCAACTGGGTGGTGGTCCCACAGTTGATATTTTTATAAACTCATGAAGTCAGGGGGTTAGAGTTAGAAAAGAAGCTAAGGTACTATGGCGAGGTGCTACTTTTGCAGGTCTTTGGGGTATATGGCTAGCAAAGAATTGACGAATTTTCCTTAATTGGGCAATGACACTCCACGAGCTCAAAGAGAGTCATCTTTTGTGGTGTCCTTTCGGGCAAAAGCTCATGGGCACTTCATAAACATGAGCATCTTAAAAGATATTGGCACCGAGGGGGGTGCCATCGCCCTTACCACTAGACTTAGAAGACTTCAATGGCAAAAGCCAAAACCCCACTGTAAAATTCACAGGGAAATGCACTTTTTGCTTTCTTCCTAGGCACTGCCTCTTTTCATCCTGTCTTTCACCGCTATGTCTCGTACTAACCTTCTATCTGCAGCCCCCAACAGCCACTGGAAGGGCACACATGACTCCCATACACAGATCCCTGTGCATTATAAATATATCTGTAATTGAATTTTTAGACTGACTTCTGTTATTTAATAAAATACTCTAGGGTTTTTCAATTTTCTAGTTATATGTGCATGCAATCAAACCCTTATCTATGATGTTTAAGATTTATTAGATGTGATGTTTAAGAAGTTTTAGGTATAATGTCTAATTTTTATCCCTAAATTCTTAAGTAGAGAAATTTGTCCTAATTTGTTCTCCATCATTCTTTGTTTTCTTCTGGCTTTTGCTCTTGGTGCTATGCTGCATGATAGCTTCATGATTTGTGCAGGATGGCAAAAATTTTATTTTACGGGAAAAACTGCATTGGGTTTTATTATTGTTTTCATTTACATTTTCCTGAAAAGCGTTCTGGTGTATTATCTTGGAAGAAAAAATAATGGGGCACTACTGCATCGAGTTTTATTATATTTTTTTCATTTACATTTTTCTGAAAAGCTTTCTAGTGTATCATCTTGGAAGAAAAAAGAATGCTTATCTTTGTCTCCTATATAATTGATTTTTCATTGATTCTTTAGAGAACTTGTATTGCAGTTACTTCTAAACAAGGTTCTTCTGCTGGGCTCAGGAACCCAAACAATTATTGGTAGGCCTACGGTGCCAGACGCAGCTGTTCATGCAGTTGTTGAAGAACATGTAAGTGATATATCCGTTCTCTCTCTCCTCCCTCCCACTTTTTTCTATGGCGATCATACCAGCATTCCCCCTGCCATGCAAGAGGAACAAAAGGGGAAAAGTAGTTGCTTAATTAGAGATAGGGGAATGCATGTTATTGAAGCATCATACTAGATTGGTTTTTTTCCCAACCTTATGTCCTTATCTTTCAGGAAAATTTATGAACACAAAATTCCAAAGTCGAACAGTATACATTGTCCCCAAGATTCACAGAAAATTATCCTTTTGGTGTTGCATAGCTAGCAAGCTATCTCTTGGAATTTTGCTTAAACAAATTTTGGCTCCCAAACATGGAGGACGGGAAACTTAAAAGTGAGAAATTTTCTGGAAAATTGACAGAATATCCTTTGGATATAAATTTCTAGTTAATTACCTTCTGGAATTTTCAAGAATTTGGTCTGCCAAACATTAAGGTGAACTGATGAATAAAATATTTCTTTTCCAATTTGCTTTTCTTTTTATCTGAATGGTGTGTTGTGAGGGTGGTTGGGTTATGCAGACAAATTAATGTCACCAAATCATCTTTATGTTAATGTTTTCCTTTCATTTTTCAAATACTAGGACTAATGAAGAGAATGAGGTTTTATTGCTGAAGCTTAATATACCTTGCCAAGCCTTAATCTGTTCCAATTTTTTTGGTTGTTTATCAATGTGGTTTATACTATGATGTATACCTTTTATTTGAAGAAAAAAGGTGGTTTATACTATCATGATTCTTCTTTTAGCCCCTAATATGAACTTTTTGGTGAGTTGGTAAGAAAATAAGGAAAAAAGAAGGCAAATAGAGGAAAAACAGAAGTGCAGCTAGAAAACAAGAGTTTTAGGCTCCATCATGTGTGCTTCAATAATTCATATAGCATTTTTGAAATTGTTGGTGTTGTAAACTCAAATGGTTTGCTCATCAGTAGAAAGTTATGCTTAGAGAAAGGCACGATGATGAATTGAACTACAAATTGCTTTATTTGTTAATGCCCTAAACAACAGGAGGATGGAACTTTGATGGGTACCGAGGAATAACTCTCATGAATAGGTATTTCTGGTTGTGATTGTAAGGGAAACCAATCAGGGAATAAATTTGTTTTCCAAAGAAAAAGGATAATCTAAGATTTATAGGGTATAGCCTTGTTAATTTCAAAGCTCTAGACTTCACATGTAGAAAGGTGATTTGAGTCTAGCCTGTCTTTAATATGATCGTAAGAGGTACCTTGCATAACGAATTTCTAAAAGCAAGATTTATACATTTTTCCATTGACGCAAAATGGCATAATATCCAATAAGTTATGTTCTCCTGAAAGAGTCCATAAGTTTTTCTTCGGATACTTAGAATCTTCTGTGGAGATTATAACTTTGAGAGCCATGTCACTCTCGTCACCAATGAAGTTCTTGGTGATCGAGAGGAAGTTTGTTATGTGGTTTTAGAGGGGAGTGGGGTTGATACCCAGGGCCTTTCTGAGGATGATATTAGGTGCAGAGTGTCTTCTTAACCAAGAGTTATCTTGGATATTTAGGTCAATTGTCTTCTATTTGACTAAAGGCTACCATCAATGTGCTTCTCTTCATTTTTTTAGTGGGGTGGGGGAAGGGGAGGAAAGGTGGGAGGGATTGCTGGGACATAAAGGCTAGCATCGCTGGTCCACGATGATGGGGTTGGGGGCATATTCTTATAAAAAAATCAAGAAGTCAAGGTGGATTTAGAGATACCAAGAAGTCAAACTGCATAGAAGATCTTCTTCCCCAAGGGATTGAGGCCAATAAATGATGTTGCTCATTTATTATGAAGAGATTGCTCTTCCAAATCTTGGCCAAAATTGTCAAGAGATTGGTTCTCTGAAGAAACCTCTTGAGCCAGTAGTCTTAGCTGAGATCTTGTTTGACTTTCAGGAAGGTCTTGCTTGGTAAATAACTTTAGAGATGCTTGATATATAAGAATTTCTCTAGAGGTATAGTGCAGGTGAAATATAGATTTGCATGTCCGGATGAAATCACTTCGTGTCTCAGGAAACCTGATAGTCCTGGAGTGGAAGTGGATTAAGATTCAGGGTTGTCGGGAGGCTTTGAGGCCTAATCTCCAATTCAAGTTGGGCTCGGTAGAGGGTGAACTTTTGGATGGATGGTTTCGTGGTAACTTTTCAAGTTGCAGTTCCTTACACTGTATAGTGGTGCCAGGAGGAAAAGGAGTCTGATCAATGAATGCTTTTTCTCTGGCAACAGTGGGAGATTATTTGGGATGTTGGCTTGATCAGTATCTCAAAAATTGAGACTTGGATGACTACTTTGGTGACTTCAGCTGCTGTCTTTAGTTAAGTGTCCTACCCTCCTGAGAAGACCTTCCTATGTGGAGTCTGAGTTGGGGCCTTCTGAGTGAAATTTTTTATTTCCATCATAGTCAGTTGCAATTTAGCTTTGAGTAATTTTCAATAAAAGCAAATTTAGAAAAATCAAAACCTCTCAGGGGAAGAATTTGACCGCTGATAACCTAATAAAGTGTGGGAAGGTGTTGATTAATGGTTTTTTTGTGTGTGTGTGTGTTTTATGATATACGGTTCTGGAATTTCTGACCTTGAAGTGGGCCTTGGGGAGTTTGGCCTTTCTGGAATTGTGAACTTGGCAGAATACTTTGGCTGGTAGAACAGGATGTAGCTTCTACTTCCATGTCTATTTTTGCACGTCTGGAAAGAAAGGACTATGATAGCTTTTGATGGAGTGTATTCCTTAACCAAAATTTACATCCCATAAAACAAAAGAATGTGGGTTCTGAATCATTGATTTTAGATCCTATGTTTTTTTGTTTGAGGATCATCCTCTTTCTTCTTGGGAGCATTTATGGAACTTGATTGATATTTTGACATCCTTTTGTTGTGTTATTTTGTACTTAGATGGCATTCTCCTGGTGCTTTGTCTATAACGTTTTTTTTCGTCTACAAAAGCTTTCCTTTTGTTGGTTGGTGATATACAGCTTATACCAGTTCCAAGTGTGAGTGAAGGCATAATATAAATGATATAAAGGAACTATGACTAGTCCTTTGATTTCTGTTTTGCTTCAAGCTAGGTAAATTTCTTGTCCCTACATAGATTAGTAGGAATAGAAATTCCTCTCTATAAGAAATTCATGGCAAGAGCTGAATTGGTTCAAGTAATTGAAGCAAACAGGAAGTTGTAACTACATTAATGTTAGGCCATTGCTTCATGTGTCACGCTGAATCTTTCTGATGAGTAAATGCTTAGATTAACACATCCAAGAAAGAAAATGACTGCTTTGAGCATTATATCACCTGCATGCATTTTCAACCTCCATTTTTCTAAATTTCCCCAGAAAAAGGCATTATGAGTTATCTGCAACTCTTTGGTTTTTGAATCTGTAGTTTAACTAGTATATTGTGTCAGAAGCCCTAGTCATTTAGCTTTGACGTGAGTTCACCACAACACTGAATGTTGGCAAGCTAGAGAATAAGAGTTGAGAAGAAGGTAGAGAGGAGACAGAGGAAGAAGAATTTAGGGGGGGGAGAGAGACAGAGAGAATGAGAATAGTTAGAATTTGAATTTCCCGAAATGATTTGAATTTTCATTACAATGTCTATTCATACTATGTTGACGACTATAATGTCAGTTATAATCAACCATTCACAACCCGTGACTCCAATTTACCCTCTACACCTGATCCTTCACACTGTACTCATGGTATGGTACAATCTTATTTCTTCTCTTTGATACACAGTCAAGGGCTTACTGACATATTGTCACTCTATTTTCTCAGGCATTAGATGCAAAGGTACTTATTTTCAAGAAAAAGAGAAGAAAGAATTACCGCCGAACGAAAGGACATCGCCAGGTATGTAAAAGATATTTGTGTAAATAATGGTGGCTTGGTCCTTTTGTCTGTAAATATTTTTATGGGCTGATCACGTTTATCTGTTATTATATTTTTATCCAGGAATTGACTAAGTTGAGAATAACTGACATTCAAGGAATAGAAAAACCAGAAACAAAGGTTGATGGGAAGCCTTTCAAGGCAGCTATTAAGAAGCCGGAAAAGGTTGCAGTTGCTGCTTAGGGTGGATTTTTAATGCAACTGTATCCTTTGCAATAAGGGCAGTCAATTGTTGCAACTTCCAAGCTATATGATTTCATGATAATACAAAAATCAAGCTCCCATTGGTGATTTGCTTAATGTACATTGTTGAAGGCTAGCAGAAACATGTTGCTAGTAACCTTGGCACCACTAAAATTTTGCACTTCTGTATTTATTTCTATTTTCTTTTATTTAGCTCTCCTGCTTAGGAACGTGCAATTGAAAAAGCTCCATTTTGCTCTCAAAAAGTGTTTTTCCAGTTTTGGGTCAACATTATCCTGTCTTATTGGCTTTTATTACTGATCTTTACCATGTTTCCAGGTAACAAATGTTATGGCTAAATACTGGTGTGCTTTCTTTTATGTTCTTTTTGTGATTTCTTATTTATCTCATCAATGTTGAATGTAATATAAATGTTGAGGTAGGTTGAACAGCTTTTAGTTTCTGAGAACTTGAACTATCAAGCTAATAGGGGAGTTTGTTCCATGTTCACGATTGCCAGAATGTTATCAGAAGAGTCAATTGCATGAAAGATGTGCAGGTACAGAATGGAGTTTGTGAATCTGTGGAATTCATCTTTTTTCTTCCCACTTCAACCTTTTTTAAACATTCTTCAGTGTTTGAGCGTGGAAATTAGGAATAGTCAAGTTTCTCACTGTTGAAAATTATGGCAGGTTAGTTTTGTTGATCTGACAGATATAAACAAGCCCTTCTAAGTCAATAGTGTGGATTAATTGTTTATGCTTTTCTTGTATTTTTACTTTTTTGCCCAAAAAGCAGTAAAGCAGCTCATCAATTATCTAGCAGGTCCACTCTCCACACTGCTCCCATAGGATATGGTTGCACAATTTGCTGGGTCCATGTGATACTCACCTATTAGATATCTCCCACAGGTATTATAAATCTCCTGAGGCTATGTCTGACTTACTATATGATGTTGATAATTGAATGATTTTTCTTTCTTTTTCTTTTCTAAATGAATTGAGGTAGATTTTGATTTCTAGCCATGAGAAATTGAATGCAGAAATTGTGAATGATATGCAAAATTGTATTAATAACCTTGTTTTGGTCTTGGGAAGCATAGCAAAGGAAGAGATTTTGTCTCGATTCATATTCCTTCACATACCTTATCCAAAATTAGACCACTTTGCACTTTGAAACATATGGATAGAGACAATGACAGAGCATCCGATCTACCATTAATACCATTACTTTCCTTATCATCTACAACGAGAAAGTGGGGCAAACAGAACTTGCAGAACATCTGCATATCCATTTAGAGTTGATTTGGCTCTACTCTCTGATTCATCCATGTTTTCTGCACCCTTTTCTTGTTGGTTTTTCTTTTTTTCATACTTTAATTTTTATAAACAAATATGTCAACTTTAAGAGGATAGAGGAATGGGATACCAACGTTAATCATGTTTATATCAGATCTGCAAAGTCCATGATTATAGGAAATTGAGATAGCCAGGAGAATTTTTTTTTTAAAGTGTCTTTCTACTATTTTTGCTGCACTTGCTGATTTTTTATCATCCATAGTTTGATTCCATTAGAACTATACATTTTCTCAAAGGTTTAGAAGCTGTGGATGGGAAGAAATTCAGAAATGTTATGAAATTTGTTTATAAATTTGACACTTCATTTAAACTTGAAAAAGAACGAATCAATTATAAATGAGTTTTACGTATATTTAGAAACTTATTTCAGACATTCGGAATGCTTGAATACTAACGCGTTTAGAGATGAATGGATTAATCAAATGGGAATTTTATATTGTTTTTTTTTTTTTTGGTTTAAACGAAGAAATCTCTTATATATGATAAATTTTTTTTATATATTTTATTAATTATAGTTTTTTCTCAGAAAAATTACAAATCAAGAAGAAAAATGAAAAAAACTCTAAACTCACAAAAAATAAAAGATAGTTTGTCCGATCATATAATTTGAACTTTTAAAATATGATATTATTTAAATTCATCAAAAATTATTATTAATTATTATCGTTCTATTAAAAAAATAGAAGAACTGATTTAGTTGATAGATATGTTTTAAAAATAAAAAATATAATTTTTAAATTCTTAATTATGGCTCATCGTTTTAGAAAGCAATTTCTAATATCATAGACCTCAAAAAAAAAAAAAAAAAGTATAAACCCTAACCCTAGTCAACGTTCTCAATTTACCCTAACCCTTTTTTTCTGGCGTGTACGTTTATCCTAGTTACCCACTATCATTATATTATACATACACGTGCTTCATATATATATATATATATTATGCTATATGGAATTGCTTGTACTGAGCACTAGAAAATATGTATGGATCAAAATACACGTCGGGTGAAAATGGATAGATTTGAGGATTCAAACGATCAAATGATCAACAGTTGGTAATTAAATGTTCATTTGCTGACCCAAACAAAATCAACTGTGTAGATTCTTTATAAGTTTATGTTTCAATTGATTTTGTATTTATATACTCAAGAATTAATGAAGGGCTTTAAATTTTCTTTATGAAAGAATATCCTCCTCCCATGAAACTAAAGTGGCTCTCTAAGTGGATCCTCTTTCTTTATCACCCATCAAATCTGCTTTCTGCTATAGACTAACAAATATGCATATACATACACATATATATATATATAATACATATAAATACGTATACATGGAGAGAGAGAGAGAGAGAGAGTAGGAACATATGTTATTTGTTATATATATAATTATACATAATAGACTAGCGGAGCATTTTCTAAAAAAAAAAAAAAGGTGCTTTTTGTGCTGCCACTTTCGTATTAAATATTATTCTGCTAATAATTCATGTTCTCAATAGTTTCTCCACTTTCATTACATATTGACCTTTCATAATGAATTTTCTTTTATTCGTATTCCTAATAAAATATTGTTGTACAAGTGTCAGAAGTAGCCATTTTATTGATATATTTTATAAATATAGAAATAACATTTACAGAGTATATATATATATATATATATAAATATAAATGCATGCATATGATATATAGCATATTCCCATCAAAACCCTTTTGTGGATTGATTGAGAAATTAATACCTCTGAAATCCCTGAAAAGAAAAACTTCATAGTCCTTAATTGAGTATTGGAATTTGAAGAACTTTAAAAAAAAGAGAGAAGAAACTGAGATATAGTGCCTATAATTCAATTCAAGCCATTAATAATACAACACAGATTGAAGAAAGTAAATGAATTTTAATCATAAAAAAATATTACTTAGTTTAATTTAATATATGAGTAAGATATCACAAAATAAAATATTGTATATAAAAAAATAAGATGTAGCATGTAAGACAAGCAAGGAGATGGGTATAAATATAATTCCCTTACTTCTATTTGATAATATGCTGCATGACACCAGAAAAACATATATAGTCTTCATCCATGACTTCCAGCGATGATCAAATTTTCATGTTTGCTAAACAAAAAGGCTTTACGTATGAATTTATATATAAATATATATTATTTTTTACGGTATCTGATGCCAAAGTTAGTGGTTGCTTATTATGCAAAGGGTAAAATAAAATTTATTAAATCAAGTATATGTGTGTGTATGTATACATTTCACAAAGTATTTGGGTAAACTTTTATTTTCTTTCGTTAAACTATTATAATGTTGAAGATCAATGGAGTTCTCTTGTGTCTCCTCCACCATTCTGTTTATAGAGTGAACCAACTTACATACACCTAATCATCCAATATAAAACCAGCAGCGCAGAAAAAGTGACTTATGGAAGAAGCAAGTTTATAGTCAACTTTTACACGTCGTGACATCAAAAGCTTAAAAAAAACAAGAAACAAGACCTTGTTTCTATCAAAGTATAATCTGAATTAGCCAATTGTGATGATATTCAAATTCTAAGAAACTAATTATATATAAAAACTGGGTCTGCAAAATCTTTGTCTTCGATCACAAGTCGTCATCAAGCATTTAGTTTAACATGAACAGATATGATCATGTGTTATGTGGGATGAAAATTATGGTGTACAAAAAGGAAAGTTTCAGTCAAGATGAGTATCATTTGAAAGGTACTTTTGTATGTGATAAAGGGTCTCTTTCTCTTGTTTCAGTTTAGACATTGTTTAACCATGTGTCTTTCTTTTTCTATCCAAAAGCACATATCTATCTATATATACGTGTGTGAACATATATATAGCTATTCCAACTCTATATTCATTTGCAACAGTGTTTATTTCTTTTGAAATGTCTTGTTTTTACCTTCATAAATAAAAAAAATATAATTTATTCAACTTATTTACATAATACTATATATTTAAAAATAAAAATTATTACAGAAAAATTTAGTATATAATAAAAGTTTTTGATTTTAGATAAAATTAGGACTTGAAAAAACCAAAGAAAACGAAAGAAAAAATTGAGTAGAAAGAATTAGATTATGGAAATTGTATTGTTGCTTGGGATTTGACTCCTTGTGCCTTACCATCACTTTTATATTTGTCTCCACATAAATTTAAATATAATATGAATCCCAAGTAGCACTATTGTATAAGTAATGATCATGAAATCCACCATCATCATTAATAGATTAATGTTCTTTAATGTGTTCAAGTACGCGGCATGGAGAAAAAGCAAGCAAGTGGAGATAATAAATTTTCTCTTCTTCCTCTAAAATCTTTGAATACCATCGAATCAGATCCTTAGTTTTTCCGCGTAAAACATATTATAGTGTTGGAGTATGTTTCTATCCTTGTTTTGATCCACATGACATGAAAAAACTAGTAATTTTTTTTTTTTGGAAGAAGAATCATTTGCTTTTAAAAGTAAAAGGCAAAATCTACTTGTTTCCAAGGACTTATATTGTTGTTGGGAACTATTCACTCAGTTTGGTGCTTCACTTAATTAAGGAAAAGAAAGCTAAAACAAAGAAGCCTGGCTACATGTACATATGTACATATATAAATGTAGCAACAGTCATAAAAGAAAGTACATTCAATGTAATTGTGATGCAAAATGGGGAATTTCCAACCTGTCCTAAAAGCTCAAAACTATTTTGCTTTCATGAACAGCTTGTAATAGTGATTCCAAAACATCCGATATAAATATTTGTGTGAAAAAGTTAGATCCTATATATATCTCACCTGGGATGATTATATAAAAAGTCAATCTATGCTATATGCATTTGAACTTCTATACCAACAAATAGTTTGAACTTGGAAAGTCATTAAGTCAGTTCTATTAGGGTTACATGTATACCCATAGATTCAAAACCTGTTTAATTAAGAAGTATGACTCTTAATATGTGTGTGTATATATATATATATATATGTATATGTACATAGGTGGACATTCTTAGGGTAGGTACGATGGTAAGCAGTTGAAAAGATTTTCTTCTAAATCTGATTTGTTTTGCAGCAAGTGCTTTTACTATAGATGATGATAGCCTCCATTGAGCACTAACATGAGAAAGTGCAATAAGAACTGGCACTTTGAAGCCATCCAAAAAGGGGAAATAAAATATGTGATTTCATCTAACAAAAAATCTTTTATCATTCAAGTGGGTAGAGAAGAATAGTTAGGAATTTGTCATTTTCATTCCATATGTTTGTGTTATATACCCATATATATATATACTGTATATTTATATAGATATATACATATATATCTCCCTCTCTCTCTCTCTCTCTCTCTTTCTCTCTCTTTCCAACTATCTATATGTATATATTATATAGTGATAGTGCTGTTAGACTAAAAATCACAACAAAAAGTAATACCAAACAAATTGGGTTTCTGCTTTAATTAATTACCTGAACCATTAATGGCTGACTTTTGTCCTCTTAATCACTTTCCATAAATTTTTTGCTTGTTGAGTCATGATTGGTTATAGATGATAATTCATGGAGTCTCATGGTTTTGTCCGTACAGACACTCCAAGAAAATGTCTTCTTCAATCCTATTTTGTTTCTTTGCAAATGAAACCAACATACATATATATATATATATGCGCACATACTTATTTGTACACACACAATATATATATATATATTCACAGAGTACTAGCCTATAATCGTATAGGTCAAGAACTAATCAATCTCTACGCAATCATCTATCAAATTTATAGAGAAGGAAAATATATACTTGATGATCCAAGTAGAGAATATTCTTTACTTACGCAAATACTATTGAACACTTTTAAATTTGTTTTTAGTGTTTAGTTTGTTCACTGGTTCAACAGTCAGTCACCTTTTGGCATAGTTAACATCGCTAATACATATATATATATATATATATATGTATATACAAACGCACACCCACAAATAGTGGACTTCTTCTAACAATGGAGGTTTTCAATTTAGATTTTTCAAAGTGGATTCATTACCTGGAACTTTCTTCGTGTGTTGGTAATTGGAGATAGATTTTCTTCATGTTTTGGTATGAGTATGTGTGCATGTGGGTATATACATACGTAACATATATTTTTGAATAAGTATTTATAACTTTTGAAGCTGAGGTTCTTGATTATGATTTCTTTTTTGTGCTTGTAATGTGATTATTATTTAGGATCTAAGTTATATTCCAAAGAATATTCTTATACATGCCTACCTCTATAAACAGAAGAGTATTTTAACAAGCTGTTCTCCCAAAATAATAATAATAATAACATGTGAAACCCATTAGGGTTTGCTAATTAATCATGATTCAAAATATAAAGATGATTTTCTAAACAAGATGAAAGTTCTTGAAATAATAAGAGAATAAAAAGCAAATCTTTTTTTATTTCAACATGCTTTTCTTTTTAAATACTAATTATTGTTGGAAGGGGAAAAGCAAGTTGGAGACATGATAATAATCCTTCTTAATAATATACATATAATACGACTTCACTATATATGTATATGTATACGTATGAAAGAGAGTTTAAACAAGAAAAAATTAATTAAGATAAGTAATTTACGCCGCCATCTTCATAACGTATTGGGAAATTAGATTCAATTAATATAATTAATTAAATTTATCACCATTAATTTAATTAGTACCATCAATTTAAGTTGACGTAAAAATTTGTCAAAGAAAGAGTAATTAAGATGCAACTTTGAAGAGTTAATTATTTTTAAAATACCATGATTCTTTCGTTTAGATTTTCTGCACGATTGATAATACCCATAATATATATATATATATGTATGTATATTACATATATAAAAAATGTATATGTGATATAATGAAAATAAAAGGATAATTCAGTAATTTTGACATGAACAGTCGATGAGTAAATGTAGTGCAGTATTATTGTGAGATACTGTTGGTATATTCTGTTTCGTGCCCATTCAAATATTAATCTGAATATGGCGATTTGAAAGCACTCAAAATTAAACCAACTGCTTCCAACGTTTTCCCATTTTCGGAGAGAGAAAGCATTTCTAGAGGAAGGGAGAGGAGGAAGGAGATGAGACGGATTCAGAGCTGGGTTTTTCTCCAATGGTTTATTGCTTCATTAATAATGGCGTGATTGGTGAGGTTCGGAGAGGAATTGCGCCTCTCTGAATTCTTCCGTAGTTTTTTCTTCTTTTCTTCTCTTTTTCTCTCACCGAATCAGTTTTCTTGGCCGGGAAGGAAAGTGAGAGAAAATCAAGAGGGACCGGTTTTGTTGGTTGAGTTGTGTTCTAGGTGGAGTTCCTTTTTCATGTAGGCCTCATGCTGTTTTCTGGGTTCTGGCTAATTGGTTGTTTCGATGGCAGATTGTAATATGGTTCAACTGGTATCTGGAAATAGCAAGCGGTGAGATTCTCTTCCGTTAAGTTTCTAGGTTTTGATTTTAATTTCTAAATATCACGTTTAATTGTTTATTCATTAGCATATTTTGGATATATAGATGTATAGGAGTGTCTTTTCTGCTGCTGGAGTTCTTCTCTTAGCGTGCCAACAATACTGTTATGACTTTTAAGACTGGAATAATCAGTTTTAATGAATCTTGAAGGTATTGTAAATTCTAGGAAGCTGTTGAATTTGTGTTTGTTTTATGAACCCATGATAATAATTTCATTATTTTTTTTTAATTGTGGGGAAATGTTTAAGTTAATAGCTTTTCACCATTATTTATTGCTTGAAGAAGTTTTCTAAACATTCAGGTTTTGCATGAGAAGAATTCGTGTAAGTGTTGATGTATTCTGTTATTTCTTTTGTCAAATATGTCACGAGAAATATGAAGCCCTGTTTCTAGAAAACGGAACAAGAAGCACTACTACTTCTTTTTACTCCCTGACCTAGGTGATCGTCCTTCGTTGTACCTCGTGACTTTGCTATTTGAAGAACATAACAAGAATCTTAGTTCATTTTCGGTTGGTTGTTTCTGAATCTAATCCTGATGTTAGGATTGAGGACCTTTTGAAATCAGCACAATCAGTCTCACCCGAGATGCAAGCATCAACCTTCTTCCGTTCTGTACATCTATGATGCTTTGAAAGTTAGTTATATGACCTTGTTATGCATATAAAAACCCATCTGGAAACACTTCCCTGGTGACTATATAGTTCCATGAAGAATGCCCTGTGTACTACAATTTTTAATGTAACCAGTACTCATTTTTCTCTTTATCCCATGGTCAAGGAAACCAATCCAAAACTCCAACTTCAAACTTTCCTAAGAAGACCCCTCATGGCTGCTTTCTGTAAATGTATTAGCAGCAGCAACATACTCCAAGTCTAGATTATAGGGATAGCCTGGATGCTTAATAAAGGTCTTCCTGTAGAGCCAAGGTGCAAGACGTGTAAGCCTTGTTATCAGCTATCGACTGTTAACTTGTGTTTCGCATCTGGCTCTGTGACGATGAGATACCTGATGTGTACATGTCTTCGTAGAACAATCTTGCTTTCCTCGCTCCTCTGCTTTTTCCTCTCCTCTTCTACTCCATACTGACTAGTTCATAAGGTTAGCCTATGCTAAATAGGGAGGATTTGTAAAGAAAAATCTGGTAAAAGAAAGTGTTATGTACATCTAAGGCAATGTCATTATAGTATCTTGAAAATCTCTATCTACCCCATGTATGCTGTTCTTTCCTATGAATAAAATTTAAGAGATTTTAAGCAGTTTCACCTGTAATGTTAAATATGCTTTATCTGTGTTGTTATTAAGCTTAGAGGGTGTTTAGGATTGTTGATAGAAATGTGCTTAAAGTACTTGGTGCGTTAAGTTATTTAAAGCAAATAAATTTTTATTTAAAAGATAAGCAGCTATGAGTTTAAATAAAATAATTATTGAAAAAGTAAGCAGTTATTTTTTGAAAAAAAAATTAAAAATTAATCTATTAAATATATTTTGTAATTTATACGTATATTGTTATTTTTAAATGAATATAATATAGTGTATCTATGTAAAGTTATTAGGAAAGAAAACAATAAGAACATAGGAAGTTAGAAATAAAGTGCTTATTTTCTATCTTCTAAGATCACTTTTAAGAACCTAATAAGCATCTTCTTTTGTTATGTTACCAAATGCAGAGATTGAAGGAAAGTACCTTAAAGGTAGTTATAAAAACCGAATAAACAATCCCAAGGACTATTTAAATTGTATAGTATCCTCTTGGTACCTTAGTTACTTATTCATATTTCAAATTGCATCAACTTAGCTACCTTATTTGTTATTTCAGTTACCTAATATTTAAAAGTTTTGGGAAGATGTTAACATGTTTTTTTTTTCCTGCAGGTCCCATGGAAATGTTAAGCTCACTAGAGAAGTTACTCTTTACTTTGAGTGGAAACAGAGTTCTCACTGAGATAAATTCCATAAGGACTTTGTAGAATGTCTCGCTGACCAACAGCTGGAATAAATAAGCGAAGCTCTCTTACTTCGTATTGCAATATTTCTCTATCAAGGTGCAGGGTACAAGGTCTCAGTGGGTTGGCTGGCTCTCTAACAAGACTGTTAACCATTCTAGTCTGTTATTTATTTGACTTCCCTGTGTAAACGGAAGAAGTAATACAAACTCTTGTTTGATTTTGGGGCAAATCTCCTTTGGCGGCAACAAAAATTTGGTTTCTGGAAGGACACTTCTTTCAGAAACCTCATATATCCTGCTCTTTTGGGCACATCTCCCTCAGCTAAAAGTTAGTGAAGTCTATCCTTATTGGGTAACTTTCCTTGGAAGTCATCTATTGAGGATACTTCCTCTTTATAATTTTCTTTGGAACTCCACCCTCTATAGGCAGATCTCCTTTTCTGTGCTGAAAGTCCATTTCATCTTGTGGAGAAGACGTTATCTGGCATTAACGGCTCATCAACACTTGTGGTTGGGAATACTCCCTTGGAAGGTTCATTTAGTTGAACCTTTCGACTAACAGGGCAAATCTCCTTTGGCATTTTGGAGTGTTAACTCCAGTTATCCCTGCATCTCTGTAGGGAAAAACTCATTCGGTGTTGGATCTCAAATCTCAGCAGTCCTATTATTCTATCAGAGATTCAAACTTGTCATCTTTCTTCAACATTGGAAAATAATATCCACGGTCAAGAAAGATAATACTATTTATATTTTAGATTTAACAATAAACCTGGTTTTGCATTTGCAAACACATTAGAAATTAAAATCGAGGCTAGCAGCAAAATTCCACGACGATTAATTGAGTTACTTTGGTGGGAAGTCAAGCAGAAAATCTTTCATCTGTTTCCTTATCTGAGGTAAGAATTTTGCATGATGATCTCATATTTCCTCTTTTGCTGCCTCTGTGTCACTTTTTTAACTTGTGTCATTTTTTTTAGCCTTTTGTCCTATTATCCATGGTAACAAAGTTCTAGTAGATATATATTTTGGCAGGCATCTTACTGATGGATGTGCTTCTCAGTGACTCTGATTGGGAGACTTATAGTGAGAGTGCTAGCAGTGAACAAGAGGAAATTGAGTTTTTGTATCGTGGGCAGGCTCAGAGCATCTTTTCCAGTCTTGAGGAGAGCATTGGAAAGATTGATGACTTTCTCTCATTTGAGAGGGGATTCTCCTATGGGGATATCGTATGCTCTGTAACAGATCCATCTGGACAGTTAGGAAAGGTTGTTAATATAAATTTGTTTGTAGATTTGGAGAGTGTTCATGGAAAAAGCATAAAAGAAGTGAATTCTATGAAACTTCTAAAAATCCGTTCTATTTCAGTGGGTGATTATGTGGTTCATGGAGCATGGTTAGGAAAGGTTGACAAAGTGGTCGACTGTGTCTCTGTTGTCTTTGATGATGGGACTAAGTGTGAAATCACTGCTGTGGATCAAGAGAAAATTGTACCTGTTTCATCAAATTTATTGGAAGATTCACAGTACTGTTATTACCCAGGCCAGAGAGTGCGGGTTAAGCTCTCTCATGTCCCCAAGTCAGCTAGATTGTGTGGGAACTGGAGATCCAATGAAGATGAAGGAACTGTTTGTTCTGTGGAAGCAAGTGTGGTGTATGTTGATTGGGTTGCCTCTGCTCAATTGGGAAGGTGAAGCAAGTCTGCCTCCCCGAGTTTACAGACTCAAAAATTTAACACTTTTGTCATGTTTTTTCCCATG